TTTTGATTGTTATCCTTGGATATTGATGTCTTTTCACATTTGCATTATTAACATTTTAAAGTAAGTTCCTAGAAGGAAGATGAATAAAAAAATGCATATGAGAATGACAATTTACTCACATCCTTAAAAAACTATTGTTTTAAAACTTTTCCATGTAAGTGATATTTATTTATATTTATTTCACTATTGGTGAGGCTAAACCTTCCTTCACATACTTTGAACACTTACATTTCTTCTTTCAAGAATTTATTATTTCTAACTTTTATTTTTTTCCATAGTATTTTTATGCTTTCACTTTCTGCTCATTAATCTTTGGTATATGTGAAACTTACGCTGTTGTAAAGAATGAGGTAGGGATCAAGTCTCAGTAACATTTCTTGAAAAGGCCATATTTCCATCCTATTTCTCACAAAGGAAAGAGTACAGTTTAATGTTTAAGAAGATGAACTTTGTTGTTAGACACACCTGGGTCTGAGTCCCAGTTCGGGTCTTATAGACTTTGGTTTAGGGAAGTTCTTTTCCTTTCTGTGTTTCAGCTTCTTCATGTAAAGGAGGGATAATATTAATAACTACCTCATATAGTTGTTGTTAGGTTAAGTGGAAATTTCATATCATGTGCTCTTTAAAATGTCCAGAAAGTGATCAAAAAGTTTATTATCAATGGCTATTTTAACATTCATGTCTAAATTCCCAAGTATACTTAGATGTCTAGACACCAAACCACAGATCCAGGAAACTCAGAGAACACCAACCATGATAAATGTCAGAAAACTACACCTCAGCAAATCATTTTCAGTTACAAAAACAAATCAAATAAAAAATCCTGAAAGAAATCAGAGGGAAAAAATATGCCTTACTTATAGTGGAACAAAAAGAGTAATTACATCTACTTCACAGAAGTCAAACAGGAGAGTAGAGTGAAATATTTAAAGTGTTGAGAGAAAAAACCCCACCAACCTATAATTCTATACACTGTGAAATTATCCTGCGAAAGTGAAGGAGAAATAGGTGAAGGGGGTAAAAAGGTATAAACTGCAAATTGTAAAATAAGTTAGTCATAGGAATGGAAGTACTGGATAGGGAATATAACCATTAATTTTGCAATATCTTGGTGTGGTAATAGGGTAAATACACTTAAAGTGGCAAGCATCTAGTAATATATATAATTATTGAGTGGTTATGTTGTACATCTGGAACCAATATAATATTGTATATAAACTTTCCAGTTTAAAAAAAGGAAAAAAGTGAAGGAGGAATAAACCTTTTCTCAGACAAAAATTGAGAGACCTTGTTGCCAGTAGATCTGCCTTTGCAAGAAATGCTAAAAGTACTTCTTCAGAGAGAGGGCAAATAATATAGTTCAGAAATTCAGATTTACATAAAGGAAGAGCACCAAAGAAGGAATAAGTTAAGGTAAAATAAAAACAAGAAATAGACTATCTGAATAAGTCTATAGCTATTAAAGTAATTGGATCAATAATTAATAACCTTTCAAAACAGAAAGCACCCATTCCAGATGGGTTCACTGGTGAATTCCGTCAAACATTAAAGGAAAAAATTTTACTAATTCTCTATAATTTCATCCAGGAGATAAAACCACAGGAAATACTTCCTAACTCAGTCTATGATTACCCTAGCATTCTAACATTACCCTAGTACCAAAGCAAGATAGACATTACAAGATAAGAAAACTACTGACCAATACCTTTTGTGAACATAGATGCAAGAATACTCAAAAAAATTAGCAAGTTGAACCCATAAAAGTATTAAAAAATTACATACCATGGCCAAAAAGGATTTATCCCAAGTATGTAATATTAGTTCATTTGAAATTAATGTAGCCCATAACATCAATAAACTAAAAAAAGAATGATTATATGATTATATCAATAGATACAGAAAGAGCATTAGATGAATTTCAGTACCCATTCATGATTAAAAACTCTCAGTAAATTAGGAATAGAAGGGAACTTTTCCAAGTTGATAAAGACTATCTACAAGAAACTTACAGCTAATATCATACCTAATAGTGTGAAATTTGTGCCAAAATCAGTTACAAGGGAAGATGTACCCTCTTATCACCCCTTTTCAACATTGTACTGGAAGTCCTTGCTAATGCAGTAAGGCAAGAAAAAGAAAAAAAGATACACACTGAGAAAGAAGACATAAACCTGTTTTTGCTCTCAACATGATTATCTATGCAGAAAATATGAAAGAATCACAAAAAAGTTCCTGGAACTAATAAGTGATTACATTTACATCAAGGTTGCAGGATACAAAGTTAATATATAAAAGTCAAATGCTTTCCTATATTCTAGCAATTAATAAGGGGAAAATATGAAATTAAAACACTATCATATACATTAGCACTCTAAGAAATGAAATACTTAGGTATAAATCTAATACAATATGTACAAGATCTATATAAGGAAAACTACAAACTGTGATAAATGAATTCAAAGAACTAACCAAATGGAAAGATAATCTATGTTCATGTGCAGGAAGACTCAGTATTGTCAAGATGTTAGTTCTTCCCAAATTGATCTGTAGATTCAATGCAATCCTACACAAATCCAAGAAAGTTATTTATGGATATCAACAAATTTAATTTTAAACTTCATATGGAGAGGCAAAAGACTCAGAATAGCCAACTCAACATTGAAGGAGAAGAGTAAAGTTGGAGGACTGCTATTACTTGAGTTCAAGACTTACTATAAAATTATAGTAACCAAATCAGTATGATATTTGTGAAAGAAATCTTGTTTGATAATTTGCTAGAACTATTCACAGAACTCTCAGAAACACTTGCTTAGGTTTACCAGTTTATAGTAAAGGACACAATTCAGGAACAGCCAGATGGAAGAGATGCACAGGACAAGGTAGGGCAAGGTGCATGGAGATCCCTTGCCTTCTCTGGACACACCACCCTCCCAGCACCTCAACATGTTCAACAACCAGGAAGTTCCCTGAACCCCTTCAGTTTTATAGGTTTTTATGGAGGATTCATTATGCTGGCATGATTGATTGGATCACTGGCCATTGGTAATTAACACAACCCCCAGCCCCTCTCCCCTCCCCAGAGGTCAGGTGGGTCCCTTGGCAATGAGCTCCTATCCTTAGGGGCTTTCCAAAAACCACTTCATTAACATAACTGGGAATGAAGAGCAAATATATATTTCTCATTATGCCACAATATCATAAAATGGCAAATTCTATATCTAGCAAAGCATCTTTCAGGAAGAAAAATAGGATAGAAATGTCATAGCAAATGAATAGGGCTCAAGCATTTGGCAAAATCCAACACCATTCATAATAAAACTTTCAGCAAATTTGAAAAAGAAGGGAGCTACTTCAGTCTGATAAAGAGCATCTACACAGACCTCTTATCTAACATTATATCTGAAGGTGAAAGACTCAGTGTTTCCACCTAAGACTGTAGACAAGAAAAGAATGTCAGCTCTCACCAGTCATTTCATATAGTACTAGAAATTCTAGCTGCCACAATAAGACAGGAAAAAAAAGACATCCCAATTGGAAAGAAAGAAAGAAAACTGTCTGTATTTGCAGATGACATGATTGCCTCTAAGTAAATCCCAAGGAATTATGTTCTCAATTCCTAAAATACACTCTAAGAATTAGTAAATGATTTAACACAGTCACAGAATACAAGATCAATACAAGAAATCCAGTTGTATTTCTATATGCTAATAATGAACATGATGAAACTGAACTTGAAAATACAGTACCATTTAAAATCACTCAAAGGAAAATAAAACACTGAGGTATAAACCTGACAAAATACGCACAGGATCTGTATGGAGAAAAATCACAAAATAATGATGAGAAAAGTGAAAGAAGACCCAAATAAATGGAGAGACATAGCATATCCATGGATTTGAGGACTCGGCACAGTAAAGATGTCAAATTTCCCCAGTGGGTCCTATGTAATTCTTATCAGACTTTCAGCGTGGCTTTTTGTAGAAACAGACAAGCTTATTCTGCATTTTATATGGAAAGGCACAGGCCCTAGAACAGTTAAAAACATCTTAAAGAAGAGTAAAGTTTCGTGACTGTAAAACCAAATTAATAAAAGAAGGTATATTCAGAGGAGTTAAATATTATGCTTCCATATAAGATGTACAAAATCACAAGAGTCCATTGCTTCCAACCTGAGAATGAGAAAAATATGAACCATCTACAAAATTCTCAGCAGCTGAGATTTCCAAGAGGAAAGTGCACCTGCAATGAATGAGACAAGAGGAAATATCCACATATTCTCTGAAAATTATAGTCCTCATTTCAACATGAGACCACGGGCTTTGTTCAATGGGAAGGGAAAAGCAAAGGTTTCCAAGAGAAACGGCCAGCAGAGTTCTCTTTCCACCACAGGGACATCGAACCCAACCTATCCAGCACTGGGTTCATCATTCTGCTCTCTTTATTCAAACCTCTATCATTACCTGTGTTCCGGATCTCAGTGAATATCACCACTATCTATACAAGTCACTTACTCCTGAATCATGGCGGTCACCCCAGACTCCTTTGTCTGTATCACCTGTCTCATCCAATCGATTACCAAAGTTTTCTTAAAAACGCCCTGACTTCTGGCCTGGTATTACCACCATGAGAATTCCTGCAGCCCTCATCCTGGGGTCACCAGATCTACCCGGACTACTGGTCTCCATCTGGGTCCCAACTAGCCTCCATCTTGCTGCCACCTAATCTCCGTAAAACTAATAGCTGTCTCAGTTTCTGCTTGGAATCTCTGGAAAGAGACTAAGCACTTAGCACTGCCCTCTCAACCCTCCCTGATCTGCCCTTCCTAATTCTATGTCTCCAGCTTCCTCTCCTGCTACTATATAACCAAAGAATTCAAAACTGTAGTTTTATGCGGGTATTTTAACCTATTTCCACGGGTAGGAACAGTCCCACTTTGCTCTGATGATGTGCACTCACTTGCCGAGTCAGTTTGGAAAAACTGTACTCCATCAGGGTAGCCCATGGCCCTGGCCTGCACATCCACCACACCCGGTGGGATCTTCATTGTAATGTTTTACCCATCGTGTTGACCCTGCTGCATTGTGTGCACCCGTCAATTCGAGCTGTCTAGAACCAAACGGGCGCTCACCGTTTCTGAACCAACAGTTTAAATTCCCGGCTCTGGTTCATGCTAGGCTAAGCTGTCCGCCTCTGCTCTCACTGGTCTCCGCCTTTCCGTCCCAATTGGTTGTTGACACACAGCTTAGGAAAATCAAGGTCAGGGAGATCACCCAAAACCCCTCCGCCTTGCTTCACTGGCTCCAGGCATTTGCGCAGACCGGGGTGCGACCCGTGTCAGGTGCGCGGCTCTGCCGGGCCCTGCGCCGAGGCTTCTCCTGGAGTGGCCTAGGCTCTCCGCAGCGGGGGTGGGCTGCCCGCCCTGCCCCAGGTACTCCGCCCACCGCCCTGCTGGCGGGCGCGCTCGCCCCCCTCTTACCCGTCCCGCGCGTGCGCTCGCGAGGGCCTCCTGGGGCTCCCTCCGTCGTGCCAGCCTCTCGTCCACTGCCTTCGCCGCGGGGACCCTGCAGCATTACCAGCAGGCGCTGGGGCTGACCAGGATGGAGAACGCCTCATCAGCCCCCTTGGAGCCCTCGCTCCTCCAGTCTGTCCTTGCCCCGCACCTCAGCGGTGCTCGCCCTTCTGCGGGGCGGGCCTGGCCCCAGATGGGACAACAGCAGGGCCTGGATGCTGACCAGGACTCCCGGGCCCGACGCTGCGCTCCTGAAGCCGGTGGATGAGGCGCCGCCGCCTCTGACTGAGCCCCGTGCCTGGTGTAGCCTCAGGGACTGAAAGCCTGCCTCCAGCTTGCTGTCCAAACCGAGGGGGACTGCGGGACAGCCCTGGTGGCACAGGGGCCTGGCTGGACCCAGGTGAAGCCGCAGCTTTCCCGTGCCCGCCTGAGTCTGGGCCTCCTCGCCGCTCTTGCGGCCAACCTGCCTCCAGAGCTGCTTTCTTGTCCTGAGCTTGGCCAGGCTAGTGATTGTTGCCTCTTTCTTTTTTCAGCCCGTGTCTACCCTGGAAGAGACTGTGCATCTTGATCCTGCCACTTATCTTATCAGGTTTTGCTCCCAGGGTGAAATATGAAAAGTATTTTATATATGAAAATGTGCAGCTGCTGCCACTCCAGTTCAGGTCTCCCTGAGTGGGTGGGAGGGTAGCTTTTTCTCCTTTCTTGGAAGGCATGCCAAGCACGTCTACTAGGCTTTGGTGGTTTCTCCTCATCCCCTCCCCTCCCCCTCTTCCCCCCTCCTCCT